CATAGCCCGTCTACATGCCCCAAGGGAGGCTTTATATATAGACGTTAAATACAACTCACTCACTCACTCACTCTGTCTGCTTAGCAGGTCTACCAGGCTTCGGAGCATCTTGGACGTGCTGTGGGAAGATCTTAAGAGGGGGGACGTTTAGCTCAAAGCTAGCAGCGATAGCTCTATGTTGCACGCGAAGGTGCGTTAAATCTGATGTCTATTGTGACTGCTATCTACTATCTTCATTTACCTCTGGTGTATAGCTATTGCTTTTTCTTGTTGGAACAGTGCATCCTTGTTGCTGTTACAGTGGCTTGTTGCTTTGGCTCGGCTAAAGTCATTGCTTCTGCAGCCTTGCATAGGCTGCGACGCCTTTATACGTCGATGTAGAGTCTTGTTTCCAAATTGTTAACATGTTGCTCGGTGTGCGCGCCGCGAATCCGTGCGCACCGCGCACGCGTGCACTAGCTAACAAGCTGCATCGGTACTACAGCTAGCTCCAGTTAGTAGCCCGATAATATCCTCTGCTAGGCGACAAAGCGATGAGCTTTGCATGATCGAAGTAGTACTTATTTCTACTTTGAGTTTTTGGCGAATCCAGTTGCGAATTTCCAAAGCGATTAGTGAGTCCAAACCAAGCTGCTCCAATGGTCTGTTCAGTGCGATACTGTCATCATCCTTGATGAGGAAAGCTGCCAATGCTGCTGCTAACGAACGAGCTATAGCGGCTATTTTGTCTTCATTATTCGCCATCGATGCCAGCTTCGCGCGCAAATCGTCACTTTGAGAAGATTGTGACTTGGCTCGACCGTATTGATATCCACCACTATTGTCTGAGACCGCGGTGTTATGGTAAATGCTCATACGCGCATCCCGTCTCCAAGGCACGCGGTTGAGTGGTGAAGAGATTGGACTTGTGGTATTCAAACCCAAGAGGACCTGACTTGGATTCCGGTACGTCATACCGCTATTCTGGCCGCAAATCTGTCCAGCAGTGGCAGATGGAGCGAGTGAGGATCTTTTCACAGCCAGAATTAAAGCATTGAGCAGGTCCTGCTCCCTGAGGATGTACATGCCAATACGGTCCAGATTCTCGCGAATGCCCTGGTTTTGTGAGACAAAGCCAACATCGCCCATAACACCAAGATCGATGACGGACGCAACAAGTCCCTGCTGCCGGCGGAAATGTACGAAAGCGTCAAGGAACGTGTTTGCCGCTGCGTAATTGGCCTGACCCCATTGTCCGATAACACCGCTACAGGAGGAAAGGAGAATGAAAAATTCCAGTTCCTTGTTGTATACGGTGGCCTGGTGCAAGTTCCATGTCCCTTGGACCTTCGGCTCAATTGGTGCGATCCAATCTTCAAATGTCATATCAGGAATACCGACATCTTTCAGGACCATGGATAGGTTAATGATGCCTGCAAGAGGACTGACCGCAGTGCTCTCATTTTTCACAGCTCTTTGCACGTCTGCCATATTGCTGACGCTACCATCAATCAATAATACTCGACAACCTTGTGAGCGTAAGTCTTGCACCACCCCATCAACTTCAGGTCCTTCTCTCGCAGATCTTGATAGGAACACAAGAGAGCGTGCTCCATTCTCTGCCATCCAAATTGCTAATGCTCGCCCTAAGCCTCCAAGCCCACCTATCAAAAGGTATGTACGGTCTGACCGGAAACTGATCGTTGACGAGGATGCCTTCTGTCGACTGTATTGTCCTTCAAGCTCTCTGGAATCGTCGGGCATCTCAATCACAATCTTTCCAATGTGACTCCCTACCTGCATCGCCCTTAGAGCTTCTTGGATCTGAACCGCTTTAAAGGATCTCGATATGGTCGGTCCAGGCATGCGTCCTGCGCGTATCCACTCCATACAGCGCTCGAAGAGGGCTGACGCTTTCCGAGGATATCCTTTGATAATAGGTCCTAGCTCGATTCCTAGGAAGGTCCGATTCGCTTCGAAAGGTGCCATCGCCAGTGTGGCGCGCCGTCGAAAGTCACGCTTCCCAATTTCCACCATTGTCCCAAACTCGGCAACACACTGCCATGATGCCTGTAATAGTTCCCCCGAAAGTGAGTTAAGAACGACGTCTACACCTCTTCCATGAGTGACATTCAACACGTCAGGTAGGAATGATGTATCCCTTGAGCTGAAGATGCGCGACGGTTCAATGCCATAGTTCTCTGTTAAGAAATTGCGTTTTTTATGACTTCCTACAGTGCAGTATATCTGCAAACCTGTCAACATATTGGACAACGGGCTCGGTCTACGCTTGTGACTTACCTCAGCACCAAGCGCCTGCGCTATCTGTATTGCTGATAAATCAAATCCACCGCAGGCGGAGTGGATTAATACGGACTACGGTAAACAATTTTCAGTACAAGTAGCGCTACAAAGGCATAATGAAAGCTAGTTGTTGTACTCACCTGTCCATGTTGCAGTTTAGCTTTTTCAACGAGCGCATAGTAAGCTGTTGCGTAAACAAGTGGCAAAGCTGCGCCCTCTTTAAAAGTCATTGAATCGTCCAATCTGACGCACAGAGCTTCGTTCATTGTCTGCGTCGTTTTAAAGCACCCCATTCCTAGATATGAAACGCGGTCCCCAACCGAGAAGCGAGATACTCCAGGTCCTACTGCCCGGACAATACCACTTCCCTCAAACCCCATCTCGCTGAGGTCATTCTCCATGATGCCTAAAGCGATGAGAATATCCTAGTTGAGTGTTAATTCCTAAACTTGATGTTTTTTAATAATATGGGTTCCGTTTGCTAGTAAAAGTGATGTGGGTGCCGCCAGCCAGAAGTCAGGAATCGAAAACACTCACTCGAAAGTTAAGGCCAATAACCTTAGACTCAACAAGAACTTCATTCCCAATAGGGAAAGCGCTTTGCTCACACGGGATCCATGTCAAAGTGTGTAAAAGGCCTGGCGTCCTCATAGCGATACGCCACTGAGGTTTTTCTCCCTCTATCGCGCGCATATCCTCCATCCGAATCCCTTCAACCACCTCTGACAATGTTTGCCAGTGTAGGCGTGGGATAAGTATCTCTCCATGAACAATGGCGTACTCATAGTCCGGATCTATAGATCCGGACGGATTGAAATGTTCGAATCTGGTTTTACGAAAAATCTTGGTTATCTCGGTCGCAGCAGCCCCTACTCCTGTGGAGGCCTCATCGACTTCAACAGTTAGAAAAGGAAGACTTAATTCGTTTCGTGCAGTTCTGGCAAGACCGAGCGTCAAAGCAGACTGTGGATCTTTTACTTCACCGACTTGTACGGCGGGCATTATCCATAGAATAAGCGCTTTGTGCAAGCAAAGATAGTTCTTGATAATTTCGAATGCGTCCTCACGGATCCCGTGTAGAAGGGGTTTTTGAAGCTCCAGCAACGAAATAACATCGTTTTGTGGTGGTAATGGTTGCCCAAAATGACAAACATCAACAGTTACGTTTAAGGCTTCCAAACAGTGACGCACCTCAGAAACGTACCGACCGTCAGAATCATAGCACAGTAGACTGACCCGTGATAGTGTGTTTTCTGAGCTCTCACAGGCTACTACAATCCCAGCGTTGAGTTGATAAGGCGCGTCGTCATCGAGGATGATTGCTTTGGGTTTTGGGAAGCCGGCATCGAGAAGTTCTTTCGTCCATCTCTCTGGTGAAACGAATGGCTGATCCACGCGATTATCTAGTGCTCCAAGCCACCACCCGGAAAGAAAGCCCTAAAAAAGTCTGTTAATACCTTGATAGGAAATCGAGGCAGAATTGTGCACTCACCATGACATAGTTGACACACATCATCTCTGGAACCAGTTAGTAAATTTCCATCTTTCCACACAATCCCACTATACATTGCTAGGAAAGAACTCGTGGGTGCACAAAGCGTTTCACATACCTGGGTTGAGCTCTTCTAAGAAGAGTCGCCCTCTTGGGCTTAACAAACTACGCATGTTACACAGAGTTGTTCTCAAGCTTGGAGTAGCATGTAAAACCTAAGTACAAATGGTTGCCGATTAGTATACACGACCTAGAGGAGTGGTGGGTGGAATAGAGGAAATGAAACTAACATTTGCGGCGATGATCAAATCGAAGCTACCCAACTGAAAGCCTTGCTCAGCTGGATCTTTCGTGACATCCAGTACGGCGTATTCTATTGCAGTATGGCTTGAGAACCTCTCTTTAGCAGTTGCCATGAACCCGGATGATACATCTGTGTAAGTATAGACACTATACAGACGCTCGCCATAGGATGACGTTAAAGCCCGCAGAATATTGGCTGTTGTCCCTCCCGTGCCAGCACCTACTTCGAGAATTCGCATGTTTGGGTTAGTGTTGGCCAGAATACGGATCATGTCAGCCGAGTCAACCGAGAGTGTATCATAGAAGTCAGTGAGCACATTGTTCTCCATCATAACATGAAGAGGGTGCATTTCATTTCTGAAAATCGCAGGCGCGATGGAAAAGAGTTGAAATGCCGCCTTGGAGAAAGCAGCATAAGGTGATGAGGAGAGTGCACACATAATCTCATCGATGCGTTCAACTCTTTCCTCTACACTCCTCTTCTCTAGCCAGGTGTCTTGACTTACGAACTTGTTCGCACCCTGTATATAGCGCTGAATCTGCGCTTGCATCCATTTCATGAGCTTGACAAGATGTTCGGCAGTATCGTCATTCGTCTGGATTCCTTCGCAATGGTTGAACATGCAAAGAAGAACAAGTTCCTCGAGCAATGCCCATTCATCGATGCGCGGTGCTTTTCGATGGAAGTGTTTTCTCAGATCCACAAAATCGCTATGTGGCATCCACTCGAATTGCGAAATTAACGGGATTGTGTTTACTCGTGCATCATCGTTGCTTCTTGTCATTGCGCTCATTTCGAGACCTTTCAGGCCGATTCTTGTAGTGACTGGCTCTCCGAGGTATCTCGCACTCTTTACTACAACATTTCCGGCTATCGAACCCCGCTCCGATTTCTTAGTGACGTTGGCCATTATTTCCAGAGTATGATCAGCCGGACAAGGATGCAGGAGTAACTCTTCGATAAAGGTTGGGACCGATATACTTTTCAAATCTCGACACAGCCCACGAGAGGATGCCACAACAATGAGTTGGAGAAATTGGTCGATGACGACTGGATGAAGCACATACCTGGAACACTTTGATTTTCCATGCGTATGTACAATCTTAACAGTGGCTTTGGCTTCATTCATGGTGGTTGCGGCCGAGATATTCTGCATGCCCTCAAAGTCACCCGTGTAGTTGAACCCAACATGCCTCAGTCCGGTATACCACGTCTTTTCGTCTACCTTGCGTGGAAATGAGCCAGTCTGGGATACCATATGTCGAGGAAATGCGAAAGAGCTGTCTTGAGACGCTCTTGCTTCGCCAAAACAATTCCTGGCCCATCTCGTTCCGTCAAAAGAACTGATAGTGAATTGGAACCAAGGAGTGGTTTCAGACGAATCAATCATGATTCTCTTGAAGCTCGTTATGATTTCTGTGATCTTATCCATCTTTAGAACTAGCGCTGAGGCGATACGTACATTCCTCATGCTGAACGTGCCATCAGAGCTTCCAGCTTCAGTTTCAGATAATTGCTGAATAGCTTCGCCGACCATGGCAATATAGCCAGCGGCAGGGAAAATGATATCGCCATTCACTTCGTGTCCAGCTAGCCAAGGGACTTCATTAAGCGTGAATACCTTTCTCCATACGGGCTCATTGGCTGCTGACTCGAAGACTCTGCTTCCAAGAAGCTCGTGTGGGGGATGTTTGCGAAATCTCCATTCTCGAGAAATCCGTGGCTCGAGCCAGTGGGTTGTGTCTTGCTTCCAGGCATAGCGAGGAAGATTTTTGACAAATTTCCCTGGTGGACAGAGAACCTCGTAATTCAGAGGGAAGCCTTGTTGATAGAGCTTGCCAGCGAGATACATCAGGCTCTCATCACAAGAGTTGCCTCTGCGAAGAGAACCGATGTGCAAGATATGGTTATTACGGCCAGTATCCCTGAGGATCTGGCCAATTGGTCCAGCAAGCGCGGGATGAGGACCAATCTCAATCAAAATAGCCTTGTCAGTATCGCTTGGTAAGATCTCTTCGAATGAAGAACGTAGAGCAGAGTTGAATAGAACAGGACGCTCCATATTAGCACGCCAGTATTGCGCATCAAGACAACCGTCTCCAGTCAGAAGCTTTCCAGTGACCGAAGAATAAAAGGGTATCGTAGGGCTACAGCTTTGGACGTAAGGCGTGATTTGCTTCTCATAAGCTTCCCCGTGCCGGAGCATATGGTGAGAATGATACGCCCTCTCCACCCGTAGGAGGCGAGCCAATACTCCAGGTCGTTCGGTCTGGATATTTGTGAGGACCTCCTTGACAGCTTCTGTATCTCCGGATAAAGTTGTGCTCAATTGACTGTTCTCGCAAGCAATATCCACCCCAGGTAACAAAAAAGGTATCACATCATCTCTACCAAGTCCGACTGCGGCCATGGAGCCCTCTTCTTTCACTGGGACATTATTGAATCCGCGGGATGCTGCAACTGCTATTGCAGCCTCCGCTGTGATAGCTCCACTGGCATAGGCGGCAGCTGCCTCACCCGATGAATGTCCAATCACACCATGGGGAATAACTCCCCAAGAACGAATAACGTCCACGAGAGCTATCTGTATAGCCACACAAAGAGGATGGCCAAGCTCAGCGCTGTACACTCGGCTATCATTTTCGCCTTTGTGCAACTCGTGCTCGATCTTCCATGGTGGCGGTGTCTCCATACTCTGCAAAAATCGGTCCAGTTTCTGGATTGTCTCCCTAAAAATGATGTTTGTATCCCAAAGGTGTGCCCCCATTGTAGGCCATTGCGCACCCTGTCCGGTGAATACTAAAATAGCTTTGGTCTCATTCCAGCCATCCAAAACCGATGGAACACTGGTAGTGAGCAGATCTGAAAGTTGTGATGTGCACATGTGTCCACTTGTAACAACGAAAGAGCGATGAGGACGGTGTTCTCGCTTGTTAGCCAAAGTGTATGCGAGGTCATGGAGTTCTAATTGTCTCTGGCCCTGGGCGAACTGTATGTGGCTATGGACTTGCTCTTGGAGTGATTCTGCATTATAAGCAGAGAATAGTAGCAAATTAGACCCAGAAGTCTGCTGACACCGAACTCTCTCAGAATCATCATTATTGAAGTAGTTATTGTTGATGAATTCATGCTGGTTACCGACCGGAGATGTCTTATCGTTAAGGTTGCCTGTGTCTGGGAGTGCCACATATGTCTGCTCACTTGGACGTATGAACCACGTTTCATTAGTTGAACGTCTCTGAACTGGACAGAAATTAGTTAGAAAGGCAGCGGCGGAGACTCGCGGTGATTTAAGAATTCATAGGCGACTCACGTTTAGCGTCCATCTGCAAGTCGAGGTTGAATTGCCGATACGATTCAATAATCACCTATTTACTGTTTAGTGACGTTGCTTTTACATGATCTCCTTTTACTACCGCAACGATATAAGTTGAAAGCAGACGTACATGTGCATTAACACCTCCAATGCCAAATGAATTTACACTGATTCTTTCAGCGCGGCCTTTAGGCCAAGGTTCCGTCTCGATCGGGACATGGAGCTTGCGCTCCTTGAAAGGAACTGTTTGGAAAGTTAAAAAAATGCCGAGTTCATGGCGTATGCTTGACCTACTCTTTGGATTCGGTGTCTCAAAACTGATATTTGGTAAAACCATGCGGTGCTCTAAAGCTAAAACACTCTTTATCACACTAGTCAATCCCGCTGCACCCTCTGCGTGCCCAACATTTGCTTTGACCTACAAATTATTAACAAGAGCTTCCACTTCAGAAACATGCACAACTTACTGATGTAATAATGATACCTTTATCACCAAAGCAATCCGCTATAGCCTTAGCTTCAAGTGAATCTCCTACTTGTGTACCTGTAGCGTGACACTCGATTATTGCTGTTTCACCCAGGTTTGGTATTCCGGCAGCTGAGTAGGTGCGACGTAACGTCCGTCACTGTGTGCCGAAAAACCCTGTGTGCCGAAAATGACCAGTCGAATCTCAAGGATCATGGGCTTCTGTCTAGCTGTTGCGATCCGACTGGTCATTTTCGGCACACGGGGTTTTTCGTCACACAGGGACGGACTATATGAGATTTGCTTGTGCAAGAGGATTTGGAACAACCATTCCCAACGTGCGACCGTCGCTGTTGACTCCAGTTCCACGAATCAAAGCACGAATTGAATCCTTGTCTCGCAAAGCAGAACTTAACTTCCTAACTAGAACCATGTTGACAGCTTCGCCACGAGCGTAGCCGTCGGCCGTAGCATCAAATGGCCTGGACTGACCCCTCGGAGATAACAATTCCATGTCATTCAACGTAATCCACATAGTCGGTGAAAAAATCAGATTAATGCCACCTACGAGTGCAGCGTCGCACTTGCCATTGCGAATTGCTTCACATGCTAGATCAAGACAGACAAGCGATGAAGAACAAGCAGTCTTTACAGTCATGCTGGGACCGCGTAAATCAAACTCATAAGAAATTCTGTTGCTTAGAGCAAAATCTTCGAAACCAGTGGCACGATAACCGCCTATGTGCTGCGTTTCTTTTGCGTTGACTTCGGCCCAGTCTTCGCCGAATTCGCCAATATAGCACCCAATATTGCTCCCACGCCAGGAAGACATGCCGGCGCTTTCAAAACACTCGTAAGCCACTTGAAGGAGTTGCCTTTGGGCTGGATCTAGCCGATCTAACTCTGTCTTAGATGTTGGAAAGACTGTCGTATCGAAGTTTTCGATGTCAACGCCGTCGAGAAAGTAGCCTTGGGTGAAAGGAATTGTTCCACGCGTACCTGACGAGTCATAAAACCCGTCCAAATTGAATCGGTTCCTAGGAATATCGCAGAGTCCGCTTTTCTTTTCTGAAAGCAGGTTCCAAAAGTCGAATTCGTCTTTAACATTGCCAGGTAGGCGCATGGCCATACCAATAATGGCGACCGGTTCATTGGGTGTGGAAACATGAAGCGAATTGTAATCCAGTCCCTTGCCAGAACCTCCCTGGTTTTCTTTGGAAGACGCGGGTGTCATAATGGCACTTCGTGTGCCAGCTTACGGGCTGGTTGGTCGAAATCTCCTGCAAAGAATAAAAGCCGTAGGTATAATAGATGGTGTAAGCTTATGTTTTTAATGCTCTATGTCTTACTCAGTAGCAAAGCAGAGATGGTCATGTCCTAAATATAAAGTATGCGTCCGCAATAAACTAGTAGCGATGGATTTTTTATGGACGAAGATAATGCTACGGTTAGGAGACGCCCTCCTTGAGATCGCCTTCGGATAATATGAGGCTCTCGACTCCCGACCCCTGTAGTATTTCGGATCTCTTGTTCTTAGTCCTTTTAGTACTCGGCTCTAAGCACAAGCACAGCAGCCATAGAAAGAAAGGGAGAGAACACAATCAACCACAAAGATCAGGCCAAATAGTCCACATGTCCGATACATGCTAAGTAAAGAAAACAAAATAGCAAGGAACTAAAAGCCGGACACATATAATAAATATTTTAACCACTTGTTTTATAGTTGTTAGCGATTGCAGCTTCACCCCTACATGCAGCTACGTAACGAGTTTGAATGCCCCCCTCCTTCCGTATGGATGGTCGCAGCAAAATAGGCGATGTGATTAGTCAATCGCCGATCCAATAATGACTAGTCTTTAGAATACCTACGTGCAGGGGGAAAGGAGGGGGTAGAAGCCGCAATCGCTAACATATGTGTAATACCATCGCGCCAGATAGCGCATTTTATCTGACAAGGGGATTCACAAACCAATTACGGCTAACGGTGTTCCCTAGCGATTTTCGTATTTGCCTTTCTTCATAATCTTCTCTGTGCACTGTAACTATAGTCCGTCCCTGTGTGACGAAAAACCCCGTGTGCCGAAAATGACCAGTCGGATCTCAAGGGTTATGGGCTTCTGTCTAGCCGTTGCGATCCGATTGGTCATTTTCGGCACACGGGGTTTTTCGGCACACAGTGACGGACGTTACTACATTAGAATTTTTTTGTCGGTTCTGTCGGTTCTAAAATCTGTGGAGAGCTCGAGAGGGGCAGGGACAGCGACAGGGATAGTGACAGGGGCCAGAGCACCAAAGTCATCTGTGGCTGTTCGCAGCCGAGAACGAAACACAATCTTTCTCCGTTACTTTAGGCAAGAGAGAGGAACAGAACCCATACTCGGCAGAGCTA